CATCGCTAAGGAAATCCAGCTTCGCGGTGTCACCGACTTTCAAGAAATTCTCGCTATGGTGGAGAAACTTGATTTCTTCCGCCGACCGAGACCGGGGTCCTACGGAAGCAGCCATTGGGGACATCGGCCTCGTGGGACGAACGAGGGCGCCACGATACGTGCCTCGCCGCAAATGCCGCTGCCGCACCGTGTCAGTAGAGCTACACTGTGAGATCCCCGATCGATCCTAGGGGGGGTTACAGGCGCGTTTGCCTGGGGGGTTATGGGCGCACTGACCCGCTACTAAAACAAGCCCTTTTATCCCAATGGTCTAGTGAATGGGATTCTGAGATGGTATCAGAGCGGTCTCGGGTTCGAATCCCGGTGTATGCACATGTTGGCCGTTGCCACTGTGCTCAGTCCTGGGCCTCCCTGTGTGGGGGGGTGCCAGTAGAGCTACACTGTGAGATCCCCGATCGATCCTAGGGGGGGTTACATGCGCGTTTGCCTGGGGGGTTATGGGCGCATTGACCCGCTACTGAAACAAGCCCTTTTATCCCAATGGTCTAGTGGTTGGGATTTAGAGACAGCGTTCAAAGGGCGCTGCTTTGCGTGCAATCGGCCGGGACATCGCAAGAGCGAATGCCCGGAAGCCGAGCAACAGAAACGGACCAAGCAGCAGGGAAACGCTGGGAGTCAGTAGCAGACGGGCCCTCTACTGACAGGTCACGCCGCTCGCCCGACCCAACCGAACCTCACCGAGTGATTGTGCCGGTTCACGCAATCGACCACACCCGGCCGAATAAGGAGGGTACCACGGTAGACAGCCCCATACTGCTTATTGGGAAAATCGGGACGGACTTAGTAAAAATCTTCGTAGACGGGGGAGCCAGCCACAGCCTCATCAACACTGCTACAGCACGAAAACTGCGACTGCCATTGGACAGATGTTTACCTGAGATTGACGCAAGACTGGTAGACGGCACGCCGCTGGCAATACGGGAACGCGTAGACCGGGTTCGGATTCGATGTGGGGGTAACTTCACGTTTAGCCAGGAAATGCTCGCAATGACCCTCGACAGAACCGATATTTTACTCGGGCGTGATTGGCTGCGACGACACAATCCGCGAAACGACTGGACAACGGGTGACTGCACCGTGCGAGTGAACAGTAACAACATCGCCTTACCTCGGTGGGGCTCGCTTGAGTCTTCATCGGTGCGTGTCAACGCGATCACGATGAAACGCGCCGTAGCGGCAGGAGCTGACGTGTACGCGGTCGACATTCGGGAAGCCTAGGCAGCAGACAAAGGAGGGGATTTACAGAAACTGCTGGCCGACGTACCGAGTAATCTAGCAGCACTGTTGAAGCAGTACAGTGACATTTTCCCGGACCATTTACCGACGGGACTGCCACCTCAGCGACCGCACGACCACACGATAGAGTTAGAACCGGGGGCACAGCCAACAGTACAGCGACAGTTCCGACTGACCCAGCCCGTACTGGACGAACTGAGGAAGCAGCTCGATTACCTGCTCGAGAAGGAATTCATTCGCCCTAGTTTGTCGCCCTTTGCCGCACCGATCCTGTTCACACCGAAAAAAGACGGGGGATTTCGCATGTGCATAGATTACAGAGCACTGAACAGGGTTACCATCAAATCCCGTTACCCCATCCCGCGAGCCAACGAACTGATCGACCAACTGCGCACAACCCAGGTTTTCTCGAAAATCGACCTCCGAGGGGGTTACCACCAGATTCGCGTCAACACGCTACGGATCCTTCGAATACACCGTCATGCCCTTCGGACTGACCAACGCCCCCGCCACTTTTCAAATTACCATGAACGAAGCTTTCCTCCCACTCTTAGATAAGTGCGTCATCGTATACCTGGACGACATACTGATTAACAGCCCTGACAGAGCACAGCACTTACAGGACATCGAAGCAGTTTTTAAAATACTGAGTGGGAACCGCCTATCGACCAAAGCGTCTAAGTGTGAGTTTTTACAGGACCGCCTGGAATTTTTGGGACACGTTATTTCAGCTGCAGGAGTGGAAATAGACCCGAAGAAAATTGCGACGATTCAAGCATGGCACGCGCCGACCAACTTGACCGAGTTGTAGAGGAAGGTGGTCAACTACGTGCGTCGGTTCGTCCCCGACATGGCGAAGCTGACTGCCCCGCTGAAAGACCTGCTGAGGAAGGGGGTTGAGTACACGTGGGGGGAGAAAGAGCAAGCTGCCTTCTCGGCCCTCAAAAACATTTTGTGCTCACCGCCCGTGCTTCACATCGCAGATCCACACCGTCCGTTCGAGCTCGTCACTAACGCAAGTGACATCGCTGTTGGAGCAGTACTGTTGCAGGACTTTGGGAACGGCCTCCAGCCAATCGCGTACGAGTCTCGCAAGCTGCACCCGCCCGAACGCAACTGCCCGATACACGACCGCGAAATGTTGGCGATCAAGCACGCGTTCAAGGTTTGGCTGTGTTACCTGACTGGCGCCGACGTGACAGTACGGACAGACCACCGATCACTACAGTACCCACGCGCCCAACCAAATCTCAACCCGCGACAGATTCGCTGGTTGGACTACCTCGATTCCAACTTCCACTACACGGTTACGTACAAGAAAGGCGCCTCCAACATCGCCGACGCACTCACTCGCCCCACCGCCCAACTCCATGCCATCCTACTCGCCCAAACCAACCCGCTTTTAACAGGCCTATTCACCCACGGATACCGCAGAGACCCGTTTTTCACGACCGGAAATTCACAGCAACTGGCAGAAGCTAAAGGGGTTTATTACGAAAAAACAGGCACCAACCGCATCTGGGTACCCGCGTACTCACTAATGAGGGAGCTGCTTCTGCAGGAGGCACACGACGGAATTATCTCGGGACATTTTGGGGTAGAAAAAACGCGACAGCAATTGCAGCGGTATTACTACAGGCCGGAGCTGTTGACCGACGTGCAGCATCACGTGGGCTCGTGCCCCACGTGTCAGGTGATGAAGAGCTCGAGGAAGCGGAAGGCGGGTCAATTACAGCCGATACCACCGCCCAAGCGCGCCTGGCAGCAGGTTACCATGGACTTCGTCATAGGGTTACCTTCGAACCCTGGGGGTAACGATGCGGTGATGGTCGTCGTTGACAGGTTGACGAAGATGGCACACTTCGCTGCGTGCAAAAAGTCGATCTCAGCCGAGGAGACCACTCGTCTGTTTATCGCAGCCGTTGTTCGCCTCCACGGGATACCAGCAGCGATTATCAGCGACAAGGACATGAAGTTCACCAGCAACTTTTGGAAGAATCTCTGGGAGCAGTTCGGGACCAGGCTACAGTTCAGTTCGTCGTACCACCCCGAGACCGACGGTCAAACGGAGCGGACGAATCAGACGATGGAGCAGTTGATTCGTGCCACGTGCGACAACCCCACGACTTGGGAGCAGCAGCTGCCGCTGATCGAGTTCGCGTACAACAACGCCACGTTAGCGACTACGCAGCAGTCCCCCTTCTACCTGAACTACGGGCAAAATCCTACAGTGCCCATGACGCCGAGTCCGGACAACCCAACACCACGCGCACAGCAATTCGCCGAAATCCTGCAAGCTGCCCGCACCAGAGCCGCAGAAGCAATTAAAAAAGCAAACGTCATCGCTAAGCGCAACGCCTACCGCCACCGCCGCCTAGTCACATACCAGTCAGGGGATTACGTACTACTCAACACGCAAAATCTGCGACTGCCCGACGTACCGAAACTTCGACCGCGCTACTGTGGCCCATTCCAAATCAGCCACATGATCACGCCAGTAACCGCGCACCTACTGTTACCGACCGACTGGTACATCAGCCCTTCGTTCCACGTCAGCTTGCTTCGCCTATACATCCCAACCACGAGCCAACTGCCTCGCCACCGCCCGCCATCCATGACTCGCCCTGCATCAGAGCCGATCATCGAGCCCGAAAAAATCCTGAGCCATCGGATTCGACACCCCACGGGAATCAGGAGGATTGAATTCCTCGTTCGATGGAAGGACCGCACGCCAACTGAAGATAGCTGGGTGCCCCTGGCCAACATCGAAAACCACCCTGCCCTGCAAGTGTACCTGAGGAGCCAGGGATTCCGCGATATACACGCACTCGCGTAGCGGAGGGGGCTTCTTAAGGGGGGGGGGGGGGGGGGGGGGGGGGGTAGTGTAAGGAATTTTCTCAGCATTCCTTACGGAGCCCGACTACATCGCGTACAGCAACAGCCGTTGTTCGCCCGTTACTGCTAACGGGACTTCGCCAACTTCGCGCGCAATGTTTTGCCAAACCTCGCACTACTGGCCCGGCCATGTCGGCCTACGCTTCGGGACTAGCCCGAGCCTCGCTGCCAGCATAGCACTAGCTAGCTCGCACGCACCGCGTTACCGTTTGCATGTTTCGCGTATAAACGTTCGCTCATGCCTTCGCTCACATCTTTGTACTCGTTTTGACACCTTAGTGCAATTCTCGCTACTTCGATTCATTGCACCCGTAACAAAAGCAAAGAGATACAAGATTATATATGAGTACAAGGAATACGAAGATATACGGTTCCAACTGTTTTACTGTTGCTGTTGCGGTTCGATACAGTGACGACTCGGGCAACTGCTCTGTAACGAGTCGGTTGTGTGTCCTTTTTGTCGCGTTGTACTTGTCAGGTCGAAGGTCGCTGACCTTTGACTTTCGCGTAACCTCCAGCAACTGCAACCTCCGAGGGTTGACTCACCTGTGCTTCGATATGCTTTGCTTCGCTTCTGACTTGGTGTTTCGACACGACAGAAGCGCTTAGAGTTATTAGTCTCCAACAAACTATAGATACATGCACAGCAGCTTCAACATAATCAGAGACTTCATAAGACAAAGAAGTTTTCAAATATCTGATTCATAAGACATGAATGTTTCAAAGATCTGATTCATAAGACGTCCAAACTTGACAACATCTGATGTATCAGACGGACACGCCAAGGGGGTTCGTAGCGTGGACCCTGTCTATAACGCATCAGTTCCAATCGTGAGAGACCGTGGGTCCAATAAATATCGGAACGACCAGTCATATGAAGCCACTTCCACGCACTGTTCAATGGTTGGGTTCCGCTTCTGAGCCATCCGCTTGGCAATGGCAACACGTGGGGCGGGTGGCAACTGGTTCAGGGCCCACTCTAGCAGAGCAGGCAGTGAATCCGTGAAATCAGGGCAATACCTGAATGGGGGGTCGGATCGGGACAAGGAAACCCAGCAAGAAATGTGAGGGTAGAATAAGAATGTGAGGTTGAAGCTTTGAATGTGGATCATGAAATACCCGTTTGGTCTAAATACAGGCAAGACCATTGGGAATGATGGCAGCACCCACCAGTCAAGAATCTTGGGAAGAATGATTCGGTCATCACGGCTCATGCCTATGGCAACTTCCAGGAAGTTATCCTTGGCCTCCTCTAGCTCCGCATGCACAGTGCGAGCCGAGTACACCCGTAGCTGGGAGGGACAAGGGAGGGGCAAGGGATGCATGCACGTGGATGTGACAGGTAGAGGTCGCAGGGTCAGTGCAAGAGCCATGCAGCACAGTCAGCAGCAAGGGCAGGTCTGGAACAGGAGCAGGTCTGGAAACAGGAGCAGGTCTGGAAAGAGAAACAAGTGCTCTGGTCTGGGAGGGGATGGAGCGGAGAGGAGCTCACGGCAGGTGCGCAGAAGCTTCCAGGGCAGAGAGCGAAGGATACATTGGGTTCCCCCACTGTGAGCGCCCACCCCACCCTGGGGTCGTCATACGCGAAGGGGCGGCTCTTCAGGGCCTTGGCCTGCGACAGGAGAGCAGTGGACACGAGAGCGAGGCATGGGTGTGGTTGAGGGTGGAGAGAAGGAGAGGCATGGGTGTGGTTGAGGGTGGTTTGGAACCCCATGGAAGCGGCCATGCGCGTCCAGCACTGGATTCGCTCTGGGCGCAGCAGCGGGCCTTGGGGGCCCTGGCTTGGCTGCCAGTGCAGAGGAAAGCAAGGGCAGGGTGCTTTACTAACTGTTTCCATACCAGAAAGGTATGGGCTTAGGGGGGTAGTTGGGGGGGAGGGTGAGGGGGGGTTTCGGAAGAAAAAACGGGAATAGGAGCCTGATATACTCATGGGTAGTTGGGGTGCTTTACTAACTGTTTGAGTCAACTCTTGATTTGAGTCTACTCAAACAGGGGCGTGTTTTGAGTTGACTCAGAGCAGAAGGGGGGATCGGGGAAAAAAGAAGAAAGTGAGCCGGAGATACTCTCTTGAAAACTACGGCTGAACGGAGAGAGGGTATCACAATATGCAACAAGGTGCGCGAACAAAGATCATCGTACATAGTGAGGGGAGGGGCGTGCAGCAGTCGTGTAAAGGGGGAGAAGGAGCGGTGTGTACCAGGGAGGAGCGGTAGGTGGGTGCTCGGAGCACAGCGAACTCTATCTCCAGGGCGTTGATGGGCAGGTTGCCGATTATGAATGTGGCCTGGCGTGGGCAAGGAAAAGAAGCAGAGGAAGGAGAGGGACGACATGAGAAAGGCATGAGAAAGGCATGGGAAGCATTCATGAAGCGAGACAAGGTCATGAACAAGAGATGCCGTGGTGCTTAGTGCCTGCATAATATGGTTTTATGATAAAGCATAAAGATATGACTGTTGAAGAGATTCAAATCTTATATCAAAATACAGAACATAAGACTCGACTCAGCGTTGGAGGTGCTTGTTTGGGTTAATTGCATGATCATCTAAAATGAATGGGTACCTGAGTGAGCATGGAGATGCGCTTTGCGTGCGTTGTGGGGTAGCCGTTGATCAGGAAGGACTGGCGTGAAGGGGTAGGAAGGGGTGGGAAGGGGTGGGAAGGGGTGAGGAGATTGGAGAACGCAGGTAAAAGGGGGTCGAGACTAGGCTTGCTCGTGTGCGGCAAATGAGAAGTGTGGCAGGTGTGGAGATTGGGTGCAGCAAGGCACACAGCGGCATAGCAGCAGCGCACTGTAGAGGTTGAGTGAGAGCGGGAAAGAGGGAAAGACAACGCGGTCACATGCAGCAGAGCAGAGGTGAGCGGTTGGGTTGGGGGTGTCGTTTGCTTACATGCAGCAGCAGCGCGTTGTAGAGGTTGAGCCAAAAGGCGAGGGATAAGGGAGTGGGGGAGGGGAGTGGGGAGATGGCAGAGCACAGTAGAGTGGGGTTGGGTTGGGGGTGTCGTTGGCTTAAGGGCAGGGCAGCATTGAGGTTGGGGTGGGGTGTTGAATGTCTTACGTGCAGCAGCAGCGCGTTGTAGAGGTTGAGCCAGAAGGCGAGCTTCTCGTCCTCGGAGAGGTATGAGGGGTCCAGATCCGATAGCTGCTCCGCTAGCATCCTGTATTGAGTGGCACGAGGCAGGGGGGCGCAGGGTGAGGGAGAGGGCATGGTGAGGGAGAGGGCATGGGCATGGGATGTCATGATGAGGGGCGGATCCCATATCCGTGCAGCTAGCATCCTGAGGTGTGGAGGCAAGGGGAGCGGGATGGGGGAGGAGAAGAACGGGGAATAGACGGGGGGAGGCGGAACGGAAGGGGAGCAGGAAAGGGGAGGAGAAGGGCAGAAGGGTGGCAGGGGGAGCAGACGGAGCATAGCGAGCACGGGGAGTGGTAAGAGAGGAAGGGGAGGGAAGAGGAGAGGGGTAAGCAATACATGCGATCTGCAGCGAGGAAGGGGAGGGGAGCAGCAGAGCAGGCAGGCACCTGTAACGGCAGAGAGAGAAGATATCCACGTTGCTGTACTTATCATCGCTGGTGACAGCATGCACGGGCAAGCATGGGCTTGCAAAACCAGCACCACGATTCCCAGAGGGCCACACGGGCTCCCACGCACCCACCCACCCACCGGTAGCGGCAGAGAGAGAAGATATCCACGTTGCTGTATTTATCATCGCTGGGCACAGACGTGACCTCCATGGCCGCCCCATACGCCCCAACAGGCGGGCAGGGGTGGAACTCCAGCACCCCATATGGGTCCACAAACCCCTCCACTGCCAGTGCTGCGCTCCCCACCGCTATGCCCCCCCCCATGGGGGCCGATGGCGCGGCAGGGAATGGGGAGGAAGACAGAGGGGTCGAATTGGGTGCTGATGGTGTGCTCCCTGCTGCTGGCGTGGTAATGGGGTTGACTGTATGGAGGACAGGGGTGGAGGAGGTTCGAGTGATGGCACGGGAAGGGCGGTCAGTGCTTGCATGTGAAGCGGAAGGGTCTGCTGAACTGAACAGAGCACCAGCCGCACCAGCAGCATCACCAGCACCAACGCCCCCACCACCGGCGCCACCAGCACCAGAAGTAGCACCACCATTCCCATTGCTGCTGCTTCTCAAGCTGCCACTGCTGCCAAACCCACTCCCACTCCCATAGCTATTGCTCCTCGTGGCAGGATACTGCAACCCAGCGGCCACAGCCCCACTCCCAGCTATCCCCCCCAGCTCCCCCATCTGCTCACTCCCACTCCCCCCCCCCACCTCCCCACCGCCTGCCCCCCACGCTCCTCCCCCTCCCGCCCCTCCCCCTGCGCCCTTGTCCGCGTTCTGGAAGACAGCAAGGGAGGCACGCAGCCAGGCGGTGCGGGGAGTGGCAGGGACTGCTGCTGACCCCGATGCCCTTCGCGACCGCGACCCTGCCTCGCCCTTGCGGATGCTGGAGTAGGAGGAGGAGGGCAGGGAGGAGACGGAGGCGAGGGAGGAAGAAGAGGGGAGGGAGGAGAAGGAGGAGGGCGAGGAGGTGACAGAAGGAGAGGTGGTGACGAATGAACCTGCAGCAGCAGCTGCAGCAGCTGCTGTTGACGATGCTGAAGGGGTTGTGGCGTTGCTACCAGGAGATAGGGGGCTGGGCTGCTGGTACTGGTACTGCTGCTGCTGGGAGTGATACTGTGGGCTCCCACCCCCTCCCGCCTCCCCCCCCTGACTCGACCCTGAACCAGACGCACTGATTGGCTGCGGGGACAGGCAGATACCACCTGCACCAGATTCACCTCCCCCTGCTCCCCCCGGCCCCACACTCCCCAGCGCAGCCGCCACCACCTCCCACGGATCCTCCGACTTTTTCCTCGTCCTCGTCCCGCCGCCCGCCTTCTTGCCGCCCGGGCTGCTACGGGACGAAACCGCCAGCACCTCAAGAGCCGTCGGATTGAGGATCTTCTCGATCTTTTCATCTGTAGCCACACGTTTCTGCTCCGAGGCAAGCAGGGCGGCAGCCCTGCGGCCTTCCCCGGCACCCCAGAGGGCGGGGTAGGCGTGGGCGAGGTAAATGGCGCCTATGGATCGCAGCATCTCCTCTGAGAGCTCGCAGGGCCGCAGGCGCAGGTCCTCTAGCTCGAGCGTGAGTGGGGTGGAGGAAGAGGAGGTGGTGTTGCGGGAGGGAGTGCGGGTCTGTGGGGGCAGAGGGAGAGGGGGGAAGAGGGGGAGAAAAAAAGGGAGATGAGAGGAAGAGGGAAAGGGAGAGGAAGATGGAGAGGGAGGGTAAAAGAAGGTGGAACGGGAAACAAAGAGGCAGGGAGACAAGCAGGCGGGGGCACAGGGAGAGGGACAGGGAGAGGGATGGTGGTTGCTGGCTTGAGAAGACAAAATTACTGGAGATGGACGGAACTTAGTCTATCCTTTGTTTTGTTTCTCAACCCCCAGAGCGAAGTCAACAAAAAGCAGTGAGAAAGAAGCACACCCACCTTGTTGCGAGCAAGCTTCTGCGATATGGATTTGGCCAACGCCTTCCTTAAGCCACTCGACTTCATACCACCACCAGCAGCAACCCCACCAGCACCCCCACCAGCACTGCCACCAGCAGCAGCCGCACCCCCGACAGTCAAAGACCCAGCCCCAGAGGCAGCACCAGAGGCGCCATAGCTGGCGGCAGGGTCGTCAGCAATGGAGACTGAGCGAGGGCGTGGGGGCATGTCGGAGATACTCCGCGCGCTCCTGTGCCCTGCTGCCGCCCCCCTCGCCACCTCTGCTGACCGCGTGCGAGTCACTGCTGGTGGCAGGCCTGCTTCCCCTCCTCCTCCTGTTGCAGCTGCTGCTCCTATTGTGGCTGGTGCAGCTGCTGATGGTGGGGAAGCAGACGCAGATTGGTTACTGCCGGGGTCGGCACCGCTGCTGTCCTTCCCTGCCTGAAAGCCCACAAACAAGGCCGGGGCGGATTCCACGCTTGCCAGCTCTCCTGCACTTGCCTCTGCTGCACCCTCCGCTGTACCCTCTGCTGCACCCCCTGCTGCTGCCACTGCTGCTGCAGCTATGCCTGTGCTGGTACTCTCACCCTCCACCTCCCACTGCTGATCTCCCTGCTCGGCAGCAGAAGGAGGAGCAGACGCGCTTATAGAGTCGACCCAATCATCAGAGACAGCGGGAACAGAGTTCCAGCGACTGAGAGAGTCCACTGATGCCACAGACAGCTTGCTTGCATGCATGCCCCCCGCCCCTCCATCCCCTGTCTCAACCTCCTCGAATTCCTCAGCAAAAGTGGCATCTGAACCAAATCCATGCGCCTTCTCTCTCCTGCCTCTAAACCCGCCGCTCCCAGCACCAGCAGCACTGCCAGCCCCACCAGTGCCGGCCCCAGCCCGACCAGCAGCAGCACCAGCCTTATCGCTCTTGCGCGATTTCGACCGTAGGATCTTGTCCTTGGATCGGCGCCACCTGTCCCGGCGCTTATCCGCCATCTCAGCCTCACTCGATGACACCACCGACTCTAAAATGTCCCCAAGAGACCTCTCCCTTCCCCCACCCCCCTCCCTCCCTCCACTTCCACTCTCTCCTCCTCCTCCTCCTCCCCCTCCTCCTGCAGCCATCCCCCCTCTACCCGCCCGTGTGCGCCTGCGCACATCGGACCCGGATCCTCCCTGGCTCTCATAATCCATGAATGCTTCTAAGTCCTCTTCCCCCACAAGCTCTCCTAGTGACCCTGCAGATCCCCACGACCCACCCCTGCTGCCCCCGCCGCTGCCCCCTTCCCCCCTGCCCCCACTGCCGCTGCGAGACCTCTCCCTAGACCTAACTGTCTTAAGCAGCCCAGCTACCGGACCAGCAGCCCCGGCCGAGCCTCGCTCGAGGAAGTCAGGTTCGGCAGAGCGGGTTCGGGCAATAGCACTGGGGACTGGCTCCATTGATGGGTAGGACCCTGCTGCCCCCCCTGCTCCTGCTCCTGCTGCTGCTGCTATTGCTGGCACTGACGCAGCTGCAGCTGTAGCAGGGGGCCGATCTCCCCCCAGACCAGCAACGCTGCTACCGGTTGGGGCAGAAGTGGGAATGACTGGGCCAGCAGCAGTGTTAAGGGCGGAAGTTGGGGAGGAGGCGAATTTGCTGATAGGCGGGCGGGGGCGCGGGGCGGGACGGGGGCGGTCGGGGCTGCGGCTTGCGCAGAGCATGCTGGGGGTGAGACCAGGGAGCTGAGCGGTTGGATGGGGTTGGGATGGGCGGAGAAGGGAATAAGAGGGGTGGAGAAAGAACGAAGGGACGTGGAGGGTTTGTGGAGGGGGGTGCTAGAGAGGCATGAAAGCAGTTGTCTTTGCATTGAAGAAACTAAGAAACTAGCATCAGGGAACAGAAGATGGAAAGGGCACAAGAAGGAAGGCTCGCTCAATCTGGGCCATTGGATCGATCCAAGGACTCACCTGGGCCATGGGATCCAGAGTTGAGTCTTCTGATCGAGCAGGAGAAGCAGTCAAGGACGAGTCCCCCAGATGGCTCTCGTGAGGCTGCAGTATCCCATCCGGGTCCAGCAATCTAGACATCACAGGCAGCACCGTTTGCCCCCTCGCTGCCCTCCTCCCCCTCCCCCCTTCCTCCGCCTCGTCCGAACCACTCTTCTGCACCTCCCGTTCCTGCATGCTTCCCGAGCCTCCCGCCAGGCCCGGGGACGCTCCAGACATGAGTGACTTGATTGGCGCCGTGGCTGACCGCCGAACCAGCGCCTGCTGCTTCTGCTGCTGCTGCTGCGGATCCTGCAGACGCATTTCCGAGCCTCCGAGCCCCATGAGACGAGCGTACTCCTCGTCCTCCTCACTCCCCACCGACCCATCGTCATCCTCATCATCATCATAAGCATTATCACGAGCATCAGCATACCCCGCACCTGCCATTCCACCTGATCCTGCCTGCGAAAGCTTGCTAGCTGCTACACCATGGTGGGTGAACGAGCGAGGAACGATGGGCGGCGAGTGTGACGCCATGGGCGGCGAGCCGCTCCCCCCGTGCTCAAGGGCGGCATGCCCCGGACTGTAGCGCCCGGGGCTGCCGCCCAGACGGCTGGGTTCGAAGCCATCCTCTGAGTGCCTGCTGCGGTTGCGACGCAGACTGCGAGTCCGAACCCGTTCAGACACCCCCAAAGGCAAACCCGCCCTTGCTCCCTGTGCCCCTGCACCCCCCACACCAGCAACAGGACTACCTCCCCCAGAAGAACCCTCCCCCTCGCCCTCAAACCCTGACCCCAGGTCCGTGTGTCCGTCCCTGCTGCCCCCTGGAAAGCCAGGGGAGTTGGTACTGTGAGAGCGAGCCACTCTCCTGCTGGCGCTGCTGCTGCTCCGCCTACCACTGCCCATCCCTCTAGACCCCACTGTAATACTGGCATCCCCGTTGTGCCTCTTTCCATGCGAACTCCCATGTCGGCCCCTCTCTCTCTCACCCTCCCCTTCATACTCATCCTCATCCTCCCCATCCCCATACCCTGGTAAGCCTGTGGGTAATCCTTCCCATAACCCCCTTCCACCCCCCTCACCCTCCCCAAATTCCCCTCCTTCCTCCCCACTCCCCCGAAAACCCCCCTCTCCTGCGCCCATCCCCCACTCCCCGCCCTGCACCGCCTGCTCCCGCCGGCTCCTCCTCCCGCTCCCCCACAACCCCCCTTCCCCACCAGCAGCACCGCCACCGAAACCCATGCCAGCAGCACCAGCGCCAGGCAGCGGGGTGAAGCCAGAGCCCTGGCTGATGTAGCAGGCGGTGAGGGTTTCCAGCAGGTCCACAGAGGACGCCTCGAGAAGGAAGCTGTTGGGGCCGCTGGCCTCCAGGTCGGCCAGGGCGAGGCGCACAAAGCTCTCGACGTGCTCGTTCTCCTCCCTCTCCATCTGCAGCAGGTCCTTTAGCACCTCCGTCTGTGCCATCAGCTGCAGCCTGCCGTGGTGCCGCGCAGGCAAGAAGGGTGGGAGAAGAGGGGTGGGGGAAAAGGGAGAAGAGGGCACACCCATCTAAACCACCTCACGAGATGCATTTGCCGCATCATCACCCACAGGTGTCTTGACGGCGCCCAACCAGTCCACTTTCGCATCTACAGATTGTTCAAGTAAAGTCAACTTAATTCGGAGAGTTGGTGCTCACAGACAAGTGTGTTGGCGGCTCCCAGGTGGAACTGCCACCGCCTGTGCATGGCCTTGTCTTGTCGGCGTCCAATAAGCACAATCTCGAGCCTAAGATCTCTTCAAGTCAAAGGCAAGGCAACTCAGAAAGCAACTCTCTGCTGGAACTGCATGCCGAGGCTTTTGCAGCCTAAGTTCACCTGCTGCACTGCAGTACCCTCAGCAGCAGAGCAGCACCCACTGCACGGCACGGCACAGGTGCGTTGCCTTGGCGACTGACTCACAGGTGGAACTGCGTGCTATGCATGGCCTTGACGGCGTCGAACGAGTCCACTTGCCAGTGCACGTGCTCCAGCGCCCTCTCCACGTTGCACCGCTCCACACTCAGATCCAGCAGCACCCGCCGCATCGACCGCAGCTCGCCGCCCATGTGCGTCACCTCGCGGTGCAACTGCCTCTCCTCCTTGTCCTCTAGCTCCTGGGAGAGTGCGAGGAGGGAGGAAGGTGACGGTAGGGGAACGAATGTGTTCTATATGCGTCACCTCGCGGTGCAGGTGCCGCTTCCGCTCCTCCTTGACTTGTACCTCCGGCTGGTGTGGTGGGGGGTACCGTATGTGTGGGAAGAAGGGGAGGGGAGAAGGGTTGCAGGTGAGCTGCATCGACCGCAGCTCATCACCCATACGCGTCACCTCACGGTGCACCTGTCTCTCCTCCTTATCCTCTAGCTCCTGGGAGAGTGCGAGGAGGGAGGAAGGTAATACCGTAATGGTAGGGGGAAGAATGTGCGTTCCACACACATGTCATCTCCCCGTGCTGCTGCCGCTCCTCCTTGTCCTCTCCTGGGGGTGGGGGTGTCCAATACGAGGGCGTGTGTGAGGGAAAGAAATTACATGCACCACTCCGCATAGAGATGCCAGATACTCGGACGTTTCCTCAACAGAGAGCTCAAGCAATTCCTCTCCAGTAGCAGTGAGCTTACGCGAGTCAATTCTAGCCGCAATGAGCAATCACCTGCACCGCACCCACCCAGCCACCCACCTGCACTGGCAGCTGCGGCATGTCGCCTCCAGCAATGGCAATAACGTCTGCCAGCTTCTCCTGCCGAGCCACCTCCCGGGCCATGTCCTCCTCTAGCTGGAGCAGCTGAAGGAGAGGAAGCAGGGCAGGTGAAGAAAGGCGAACCAAGCAACAAAGCACACGAGTTTTGAGCAATTTCAAACTTCTCTTGCCGAGCCAGCTGCTGAGCCATGTCCTCCTCTAGCTGGAGCAGCTGGGGGGACGGAAAAGGGGTGGGTGGTTGACGGGAAGGATGGAAGGCGAATTACGGAACGAAGCACATGACGTTTGAGTAATTCCAAACTTTTCCTACCGAGCCAGCTCTTGAGCCATGTTCTCCTGTAGCTGGAGCAGCTGGCGGAGAGAGGGGAGGTGAAGGAATACGAAACAAGGGGGGACGTAGACAACTGATAAGTCAACTCACAGTCTCCTGTCAGGAAAAACTGAAATCTCAACCACTCCCTGGTTATTCCACGATTTTCCACATTCAGCCACCATGTTACGAACCGTCAATGCAGCCACCATCCCACGCGATTAATCACCCCAACCTCAACCTAACCATCCCTTAAAAAAATACCCCACCATCCCATTCGATCAAGTCCTCCCACTCCCACATGATCAACGGCGCAACCCTCCCTCACCTCCGAATCCAGCAGGTGGGTCATCGTGGACACTCTGCTGTGCTTCCTCCCATGCCCCGATCCCCCGCCTTCCCCTCCCTCGCCACTACCTAATCCGCCACCAGAACCACCCGTCTCTCCTCCCCCTCGATCTGCAACAACTCCGGAAGCAGAAGCAGAAGCAGCAGCAGAAGTAGCAGCAGCAGCCGCATTGGACGAAGCAGCAGCGAACGCGCCAGATTGAAGAGGGACACCACCTCCACTCTTCCGTGGCGCAGAAGACTTGTGCGGCGCGTCAAGAAACGAGTCAGATCGAAGCGAGTGGCCGCTTGCATTCCTCCGTGGCCCGGACGCCCTACTCTCTTGTCTCCCTCCTGCTGCTGCTCGACCCGTCTCTGGGTTCCCATTCAGCCCAGGATGATGAGAACCCGAGGTTACCACTCTCTGCTGCTCCATACACGATATACGTCGAATGCCAGATTACGTCCGAATGCCAGATTACGCCCGAATGCCAAATTACGCCCCAATGTCAGAATACGCCCGAATGCCAGAACACGTCCGAATGCCAGATTACGTCCGAATGCCAGATTACGTCCGAATGCCAGATTACGCCCGAATGCCAGATTACGTCCGAATGCCAGATTACGTCCGAATGCCAGATTACGCCCGAATGCCAGATTACGTCCGAATGCCAGGTTACGTCCGAATGCCAGATTACGCCCGAATGCCAGATTACGTCCGAATGCCAGATTACGTCCGAATGCCAGATTACGCCCGAATGCCAGATTACGCGAAGCCTAAGTCTCCAAAACAGCTGGTTGAGTAGCGTAACGGATGAGACACAACAACTGGCTTGAGCAGATCGCGAAACTAGTTGCAGCGGGAAACTGAAACGAAGACTCACGGACGGGGAAACTTGGCTAACCTCTATGTATGATCCACAAACGAGCGGCTGCAAGATAAGCTAATGTCTACAACCGCCCACTCTTGAAAGAATTACTTTTGAGAATTCTAAAAAATGTTGATGTGTTTACCACTTACGATACCCTGTATCCTACGAGCTTCTAGTACTTATGGTATGATAATACCTACAATCTGGTACTAATCCGCATTAAGAGATTATATGGTAAAAGATATCCCATTACTTCTATGTGGAATAACCTACTCTACATTGCGCTTTTAAAGTCGAATCACATACCCTCGTCCGACTCCTTGCGGTTGACCGCGTCCGGATGCCGGACCGGCAGCTGAACCGGCAGCTGAACCGGCAGCCTAGGCGGCAGATGAGCCCTGAGCTCTGACCGCTAACTACGGGGCTGGGCCCCTGCCCTCCTTGCGGAACCCCCTGCTGGCGCGGCCCGCTCGTCCCGCCTTCGCTTGTAATCCAGCAATGAAAAGGAATGGTGAATAACAAAAGAACTCCAGAAAAAAATATCCGACAATACGATCAGTGAACAGACTGGGGTAGTTGAAGGAGCCAGCAATTTCCGAGGTTCGCAGGAAATGAATTCACAAGCAGGTTGGGGTTCGCAGGATGAAAGTAGAAGCAGGTTGGATGGGAGAAGGGGAAAAGGGGGTGGGAAAGGAGGGGGGGGGGGGGGGAACTGGAAGGGGACACCTTTGGTTGGTGGGAGACGGGAGGAGTTTGGCGCACGAGTTTCAGCACTTGGCTGCGGATGGTCACCTCGGGCAGAACAATATCCCCCTTGTAAGGGTATCAGCACTACACCATTAGTGCCGAAACGAAATTCGAACAGATATGTTTTGGTTGGCAACATTGCACATTGTCTCACACGCAATCCTATCATCCAACCATTTAACAAGCAACAACAGCAACCTCTCCACCATGGCTCTTCACGGAAACTTTAGCAGCCACAATTTCAGGCTTAACATTATCAGTTCCAACATCTGGGCATATTATTGGTGTTACGATCAAAATGGGGACCTTGCATGAATCAGCCTCAGGGTTAGTTGCAGAGAGTTATTGTAGCGGAAGAGATTGACTCCTATGTTGTGATAACTGAAGGATCATAGTGGATAGGATAAGTCTGTGAAGTCTAGGAGAACACAATGAAGTCTTTGTAGTGACCTTGTTAATAAGTTGAAGGTAAACAAGATGATTAAATGATAGTAATACAAGGAATAAACAGCAATCCTAGCTAGCCATGTATTGCATTGCTACAATAACCACGACTATTGCTCTTCTTGACAGTTACCATGTTGCATCTCCTAACTACCAAGTGCGGTTACCGAGCAGTCAAGGGTCAAGATCGTTGACTGTCCTCGACTGTTGACCTTCGGGTGACCCTCGACCTTCCGCATGCTCTATACGAGCTATTGCAATACTGATACATGTGCGTTGCTTCGTTATGGAGTGACGCGAGAGTGGAGAGCCTTCAGGAATATTACGATAACCTTTCGGTTATTCCAACGCTCCCCTTCATTCCTGAAGGTGAGCCACGTGGGATTTCTTCGAGATCCCGCAGAGGTCGGTGCAGTGCTGAAACTTCTGACGTGGCAGCTTCTTTGTCAAGAAGTCTGCTGCCATGTCACCAGTTGGGCAGTACGTTAGTTTGACCTTCCCTTTGTCGATTTCGTCCTTGACGAAGAAGTAACAGAGTGCTGTGTGTTTCGTGCGGTTCACGAAGCCGGGCTTGTTCGCGATCTTGATCGCGCTCTGATTGTCGCAGAGCAACGTGGAGTCCCCGTTCATCGTCACTTTCACTTCTTGCAGGAGCTCCATCAGGTATAGTCCTTCGCGAACAGCTGCGCTGGCGGCGATGAACTCAGCTTCAGCTGACGAAAGGGTGATGAGTTCCTGTTTCTGAGAGTTCCAAGAGATGAGCCCAGCAGGTTGGAGTTGAAAAATGACTCCTGTATGAGAGTGTCTGTTGTCAATGTCTCCTGCATGGTCTGCGTCTACGCAGCCACGGAGCTGCAGGGAAGCAGTTAAGTTAGCATCGTAGGTGAGCCCGACGTCAGGAGTAGAGACAAAGCATTGAAGTGCTCGGCGTAGATCCACCCCTTCAGGTTGCTTCAAGTACTGTGCGAGCTGGCTTGCGACGTAGGAGAGATCGGGCCAGCACGTGATGGCAGCGAACAGGAGACACCCCAATTGCTGCTGATAGAGCTGATGATCGTTGTTGGAGAGCGGCGTGGTTGTCAGACTTATATGGCTTAGGCTGTGTAGATCTTGAGTCGGTCGGTGCGGCGTCTGCCCCTAGCGGGAGACGCCGCACTAGCAAGGTCAAGGGGGGCAAGGGCGCTGGAGGAGCTGGCGGGGGCGGTGGAGGCGGCGGTGGAGGCGGTGGAGGGGATGGGGGTGGCGGTGGGAGTGGTGGCGGGGGTGGGGGCGTCAGTGGCGGCAGTGGAGAAGGAGGAGGCGGCGGCGGTGGGGGTGGGAGCGGAGGTGGTGGAGGTGGAGGCGGTGGAGGAGGTAGCGACGGAGGAGGTGGAGCTGGTCGGGGTGGCGCTGCGCAGAGGGTCGGCTCCGGTGGTGGTCAGCGCCAGCAGCAGCAGCAGCAGCGTACTCGTGAGACCCCTCCCCCCCAGCAGCTTCGTGAGTGGTACGCTGCGCGTCAGCGGGGTGGGGGTACGAGTCCGTGTTCCTACGTCCTACACACCGGCGACAACACGGGTGACCAGTGTGGGGGTCCGCACCCCACCCAGCGCTGCTTTGGTCCCCAGACGGACGCTTGGCGTCAGCAGTTCCCTGACGCCACTGAGATCCCTCGCTGGGGCGAGCTGTCTAGGGCGGGTGTTGCTATCTTTGATCTTGATTATGATGCTATTCTTGCTGCCATGTATGCTATGAGTATTAGTGATGAGGGTGACTGTTACCGGTGTTTTTTGCCCGATCCGGGAATTGAGACTGCTGCTCTAGGTGCTGGTGAGGCTGGTGCTCTAGGTGCTGGTGAGGCTGCTGCTCTAGGTGCTAGTGAGTCTGCTCTCTCAGGTACCACGTCGGCTCCGGCCACCCACACCTTCACTCTTGACTCGGGAGCTTCCCGCTCCTTCTTTCGAGACCGCACCACACTCACGCCGCTTAGCCGGCGAGTTGCAATCTCTCTGGAACACCCCTCTGGGGGTCCTGTCCTTGCCCACTTCTCCACTGTCCTCCCGTGTCCGGCGGCCCCCTCTGGCACCCTGTCTGGTCTTTACCTCCCCTCATTCTCTACGAACTTGGTGAGTGGTGCTGAACTACAGGATGCGGGAGTTCACCAGTTCACTCCTGCGAGCCAGCGAGTGACCCACTGCACGTGTGCTCGGTCGGGCCGACACTTGGCCACGTTTACCCGTCAACCGGGGTCGAGCCTGTACACACTCACTACTGAGTCTCCTCTTGTCACTTCGTCTAGTCAGGTAGCTGTGTCAGGTCAGGTGTTTGCTGCAGCGTCCAGGTCTGGTCCTGAGTCTGCCCCCTGCTTGTGTCGTCTCCTGTCTCACCAGAATCTCCTCTGGCACCACCTTCTTGGTCACCCTTCCCTGCCTCGTCTCCGAGGCATGGCCTCTCGTGTCCTTGTCTCTGGTCTCCCCCGGCACCTCCCTCCCCTTCCTCCGGGGCCTGGCCCCACCTACGTCCCCTGCGTCGAGGGACGGCAGCGCGTTGCTCCTCACTCCTCAGAGTTTCCTCCGACAGAGGCCCCGCTGCAGACGCTTCACATGGACGTGTGGGGCCCGGCCCGCGTCCGTGGACAGGGTCATGAGCGCCACTTCCTGCTGGTAGTTGACGACTACTCGCGTTACACCACGGTCTTCCCCTTGCGCAGCAAGGGTGATGTCACTGAGGTGTTGATCGACTGGATCCGCGCAACTCGTCTCTAGCTCAGGAAGAGTTTCGGCTCGGACTTTCCTGTTCTGCGTCTGCACTCCGACAGAGGCGGAGAGTTCTCCTCTGGACTCCGCCAGACCTTCACGCTTCCGGACTCTCCACAGCAAAATGGGATTGCTGAGCGCCGCATTGGCATGGTCATGGACGTCGCCCGTACGTCCATGGTGCATGCGGCTGCCCCCCATTTTCTGTGGCCGTTTGCGGTTCGGTACGCGGCACATCAGATCAACCTTCAGCCCAGGGTCTCCATGCCGGAGACCTCCCCAGCTTTGCTGTGGACGGGGAAGGTTGGCGATGCATCTGCGTTACGTGTTTGGGGATCGCAGGTGTTTGTTCGCGATCTGTCTGCGGACAAGCTGTCCCCTCGTGCTGCTCCCTGCGTCTTCCTTGGCTTCCCCCTTGACGCGCTAGGGTGGCAGTTCTACCACCCCACCTCGCGCCGTGTCTTGTCCTACGAGGACGTCACGTTTGACGAGTCGGTTCCCTACTACCGTCTCTTCTCCTACCGCACTCCATCCCTCCCCCCGCCACCGCTCTTCCTTGCGCCAGGTCCCCCCCCGGTAGACCCCCTTCCCC